AGGGGTGGAAGGAACCATACCTGTTACCATGAGGCTTTCCTCCCATACTACCCACTTGGGGCAGCAAAATGACTTGAGATAGCCCTGCATTATAGCTAAGCAGAAGGAAATAAACATGGCTTGCCCTCCCTCTATTTTCTCCTTCCCTCTGCCGCCCCACCAGCCACAGCCAGAACACACACCTGGAGCCTCCTTCTAGAGCTCGTTGTATTTCTTCCCACAGCAGGCCTTACTCCTAGTTCAGAAATAATACACAGGCTGAGATGGCAATGATATTTTAATGGGTTCACTTCCTGACCTTGTTTGCAGTACCTGAGCTTAAACAATTTGAAGTTTAAGCAAAACAGTCAAAATTTTCTGTGATTTGCTGTGGATTGTGGCACCATTTTAATCTGTTGCTCAAACCTTGCTTGCTCTCCTATCATGTAAGATAACCATCTTATCATGTAAGGTAACCATCTGGTTTTTGGATGTTAGGCTGGTGTTATATCAATAGCTTGGGAGGGAAGGTGGCACGGTACAGCCAGATCTCATTAGATCTTGGAAGCTAAGCAGGGTCAGTACTTGGAAGGGAGACACCAAGGAAATTGCTGCAAAGGAAGACAATGGCAAATCATGTTTGCTTCTCACTTGCCTTGAAAGCCCCTTGCTGGGGTTGCTATAAGTTGCCTGTGACAACATAGACATATCAATACCTTAGAGGAGTGGGTGGCAGCACAGTGTGTGGAACAGAATTGCAAATAAAGGTTAAAATCATATGTGAGTATTATTGTTATTATTATCCCTCCCCCAGAGAGCTCATGGTGGTGTATATCATTGTCAAACATACAAAAGTAAAACATAAAAACAATTAAATTCACAATAAAATCAGGTTAGGAACTGATATTCTCTGCCTGCATATACTGTATCTGGTGGCAGGGTTGCATCCAAAGCTTCTTTATGACATAGCCAGATGTGTGAGTACCCTAGCTATATTTTAACCTTTTGTATGAATATTTTTCAAATCCTTGTTTAAAGATAACAGCATAACATTTGGTCCATGGAATGAGAGAAGTGGGTAGCTACAATACTGCTTGTCCCTTTACAAAAAGTCAGGGTTTAAAAAGCTCTCTTGTGTCATAAAAAGTAGCACCCAACTTTTAAGAACTCAGATAACATAAAAGAAAAAGAAGGCTCACAAAATGGTGGTGCATTACTCAGCACGGAGGGGTAACCTTTCTAGTATTCACCCATTTTTCCCAAAAGGAAGGATGTTGCCGAGTCTGATAATGCAGAGACCTAGAAAGCATTTTTAACACCTACTAAATAAAACAAAAAGGTCTCCGGTTGCATGATCAGGGAGGAATTGTGCCACTACTCTTGCCAGTTACATCATATCAGCAATATCCAGTAGGCATTTGAGACACTCATATCATTGCAAAGTACACAGTAATCACAACAGGAATGGAAGTAATGCTTGTGGGAAAATTTCCATTTTCTAATTTACATATTCAGTATTTGGGAAATGCAAATTCCCCAGAACAAAACCATGATATTGGGGGAAGAAATCTGAACTCTGCACAACAAATAGGTAATGGTTGTACAATTACTGCACTTAAAACTACATGGGGAAAGTATACAGTATAATTTAATGAGAAGAACAACAGTTTTCAAATCAGACATTTTTATTAAATCTGCAAGATCATACTACATACAACAAATTATTTATTGTCATTGCCTAATAAAATAGCTGAATAACTCTTTAAATTTATATTTGTATAGAAATGAATGGTGAAATTTCTCACCTTCAAACAATGGCACCAAAAGGTAGCTATTCATCCAAATTTCTTGAAGTAGGTGTTCCACATTTAAGGCTGCAGTCCTGCACCATGTTAAATGCCTGTAAGTTTATGTGATTTCTAAGGACTTAAATGAATGTAACTAGGTGCATGTAAATTGCTGCAGAATTGCAGTCAAAAGTTATAATATTCGTATCCTATGGCAAGAGAGAAGGCCCTCTTTCCACATCCAAAACATGGAGAATCAGATTACTCTGAATAACTGGAGTCTTCCCCTCCCCTGCCCCACATTGTTCTTTCTTGTACTAGCTTTGAGATTATGGTCTATGTAGAGTAAATAGAAATGTAGTAAAGGAAAAAATCAGTTGCACAAACCTAGTCTGCAACTGTCAGAACCATAAAATCTTTTTTTTTTTTACATGTCACTACTGAATTCTCCAGTCAAGAGAATCTATGGTTATTTTTAAATTGGTTCCCCCTCTTTCATCATCACCTTTGAGAATGTCAGTTAAACATATTTGCTAACAGAAATCCATCTATCTGCTACAGCTTCCGTCTCCAGTCACCATTTTTACATGATGCAGCACCTGTGAATTCAGCAACATTTCCTCTACCTTAGACAAGCACATTGATATTGTGAGTGATAATCTCCTAACCATTGCTAGGTATTTGTGTCACCCATGAGAATAATTTTGGAGACTATGAGGCACAAATGGGCTATATCATCCCATTGATCTTAGTCCACTCATAGATGTCCTGTTCACACACTATGTCAGAGTTGATGAGAAGGTATCTGTCACCAACACAAAAGTGTTTCTGGCAAGCAGCACATTTGAAGCATTCCAGGTGGTACACTTTGTCCTTCACTCTCATGGTCATCTCGTAGGCCCGGATTCGCTTGTCACAGGAGGCACAGAGGCCGTCTTGGCCAAAAAGCCTTTGGTGGGGGGAAATCAAGAATATTCAAGAGTCAGATGCATTTGTTATAGAAGTAAAGCACAAAATTCTTATGTATTTGACTTTGATCTGTAAAGCTGTATAGAGTTTTGAATAGATTTGTCATCATCTGATGGACTGGGATATTCAGATTGTTGTGACAAAGGAGGGAAGTTGATGCGGCTGTGATAATTCTCTTGCTGTCTTGTTTCTGCCTATGCATACTTTCCATTTGGGCTGTTATTACAGGATCTCATGTGTGAATTTTGGTAACTGATGTTCTTCCTTCATATAGACTGTTGCCCACAGAACTTTTTAACAACAGTAATATTCCAACATGTATGTTTTATCAGACATCATAATAAGGGTAGCAAAATAAGTGAATTTTTAAAATATATGTGTGATTAATGTCAAAAAGTGTTTAATATCCAATGCACAGCTGCCTGCTAAAAGCATTCTGCTTGGATTGAAAACATCACAGCTAATTCCTTGTCTACCAGCAGGTGTCACTGTTCATTTTGCCATAATCAACAATAATATAAATGTTATATGAAGGTTATTTTTCATGTGATACAACCTTTTGAGTCTATGCTGTATAGAATGTGGAAGAGAGCCAGTTTTAAACTCTCTCCGTCTCTGTCTGTCTCTCTTCATTCTCTAACCACTATAGATTTTACATCTGAATTACAGATGTGAGAAATGGAAAAGCCAATTTAACAGCCTATGTCTATGAAATTCTTCATTAGCAGGCACAGATAATTAACACATTATACTGTGAAAAGATGGAACATATCCAATTACAAGGCACAGAAATGCATTAATTTAACAGTCCATATTTTCTGCCATTACAGTGACAAAATATTCAGCTAGTGGAAATAGGACTGAATCTTTCAGGGTGTTGCATATACATAGGAGATTAACTGCATATTACATTACACAAAGCTAGTCCTACACAAACAAAGCTGCTACCGGGAAAAGCTCTGAAGTGGAATAATTAGGTGGGTTAGCCCTTTATTCCTCTCCCACCCAAGTGAATTTTGAATATGCTAACACAGCTGCATGAGGCTGTAAATAAACTGGATAGACCCTACCAATCGGTACCCAGCATCACACAAGTGACGAACCACAGATATAATAAAGAACCAACATACTTGAAATGCAAGTAGGATTGGCGGCCTCCAAATGGGGCCTGGAGATCTGGAATCATAACTAATCTCCAGACTTTAGAGATCAGTTCCCCTGGAGAAAATGACTGCTTTAGAGAGGGGACTCTACAGCATAATACCTCCCCACCCCAAACCCTACTCTACTCAGGCTCCATCCCCAAATCTCCACGAATTCCCAAACCCAGAGTCAGCAACCCTAAAGGTGATCAAGAATACACTTATTCTTTATCAGCAATCTAGTTGGAATAAAATATTCTGTAGTGTTATTCATATGTACAGAAACCTCTTATGGCATGTACATGTCCATCCGTTTGAACGCCAGTTGAACACTGGATAGAATTTCATTTCAGCTGCCCCAATTTCCTCCCAAGCTCAGGAGAAACACAGGCTTAACTCACTGATTTTAAATCTTTACTCTGGCAAGCCAACTTGAAACCCTGGCATGGGTCTTCCCTTCTCTGTGCCTGTGCCTTATTGTGATCCTAACACCAGTGCTTTACTTACAAAGCAGGAACTTCCAGGAGAGTTGAAATAGATTAGTTTTGGGGCCATGTGTAGAGAAGCTGCTTTCCACCACCACTACCACCAGCCCCGTCCCTGTTTCTTGCACCATCAGACTTGGCCACGAGATTCAACCTGCCTGAGTTTATCTTCAAGGGCTTTATCCGGATTTGGCTACTCAGTTTCAATTATCATGCCTATCCTTTCTGGACAGGCTGGGTCAAGTCCCTCTCACTCTTGAGCTATAATATTGTAAGTAATTTTATTCCAAATGGTTCTGAGGGGGGGGGGGAATCAGGCAACAGGGTAAAGAGTTGATGTACCTGAGATAGTCTCTTCGACAGAGTTTTCTTCCCAATTTATAATACAGCCGTCTTCCCACCTCTCCAAGTCTGCACCCACACAAGTCACAGCTAAGGCAGTCTTCATGCCAGTACTGGTCAATGGCTTTGAGGAAGTAACGGTCCCCAATGTTCTGTTGGCAACCTCCACATGTTAATAGGGAAGGGGGTATTTGGAGTACCTCATCCACGGGCTCCCTAGTAGAAAGAAGCAGTCTTTAGAAAAATACTTGGAAACAAGCTTAAAGCAGCATTCTGGTATCTTAAATTGAACAGGACTTTTAATCTGATTTTTCTCCCTTGTACTTAAAACCAAAAACCATAGAGACAAGAGGGAAGTTGTTATGGAAAGGTCCTGCTCAGGAGGACTCTGTATATTCCATGATGTGGCAGAACAATCAGTTTAAAACCAAGTGCAGAATTCAACATCCTGAGAATCTTGGCTTGGATTTTTTAAAAAACCATGAAGTTTCTAGTCCTTTAAGTATGCAAAAATAAACTTGACAATATATGGGAACTGCTCTGGAAAATGTCAGTTGGCATCTGAGCAGGATCTCTAGTGGAAAGGGGGCAAACTTAAGTGGCTTTTTGCTCTTCCACAGTACTAATAGGAATGCAATAATTTATATACAGAAGCAAATACACATAATTTGTGTAATTTAGAAAAGAGTCAGCCTTTCCAGGTGCAGAATTATGACATATTTATTTTTAGTGTTTTGTACAGCATATACACTGCTGTGATTATATTGTCTTTTAGTTAATAGAATGATGTAAAAAATCAGGAAGAATGAGACAATCCTTGGTTAATAATGAGGGTTTTTTTTGCCCCAAATCAGTCTGTCACATATTGTCAATCGTTCTGACAACTGTAGTTAGCAAATGCAGAAGTAGTGCCCAAGTAACAACCGGTTGCCTCATTTACATGGGCTTGTCTTTTTGTGAGTCATAGCCCCTGCAGGTGCTGCTGCTATTAAAATAAGATTTCCCCTTTAACAGCTTTCTGTATCATGCATGGTGCCGTGCTCTCCACTAGTGCTGTGAAAGTGGGTTTGTTTGTAGACAGAATGAAGAAAAACAAGGAGATACGAAGTAACTTTAGCTTTGTCCCCCTTTCTTTGACAAACAGCCATTCTTTCTTTCCTAACACGAGCATTTTTTGCATAATTTTCCAATAAGATAAATACTTGCAAACAATGTCATAAAGTCCTAATTTGTATTATTGTTATAATGCTTTTAAAGTGAAAAAGGTCGTCTTAGTCTTCTCCACTTTTACAATTGCTGTATGTAAAAACTAATTTTTACATCAGTTTTACAGATCGGGTAGTCTGAGGCAGAGATAGTCGCTTGTACAAGGCTATCTAATAAATTTAATCCTGAATTTGGATTATATTGTCTGTTCCACCAAATGGTTTGGCTTAATGAGCTCAAGGTTGGTCGTGCAGTCCTTTCTGTCCAGGGCTCCTTGTGCTGCAGTCAGTATTCAACTGAGTGAATAAATAAATAGAATATTATGCCCATATTAAAAATGGGATGTGTATATTGCTCCCACTCTGAGATGCTGAATGTACTTAATCTTTCTTTGAAGGCCATTTTTAGACACATGCCTAGTATGGTTTAAATGCATGCGCCTAGTGAGTGAGCCGGCCCTGAGTATGGTTTAAGTTTATGTCTGAAATCAGTGTTCCCTCTAAACTGAGTTAGTGTGAGCTAGCTCACAGTTTTTTAGCCTCTGGCTCACATATTTTTGTCTTAGTTCAGGAAGGATGGCTTCAAAGCAAACTGATTTATGCAGTAGCCAAATAACTTGCTCACAACTTAAATGCCAGTAGCTCACAAAGTTGAAATTTTGCTCACAAGACTCCACAGCTTAGAGGGAACACTGGTCTGAATAGTTAAAATGTGAATGCAACAAATGTGTTACAAACATAGATGTTGTGCAGATGGGAGCAGTGATTGGTAGCAGTTCTCTGCTGAGTGTACACTCAATGGCAACTCTGGGTTTGTTTCACTGTAATGTGAAGAAATAACTTTGCCAGAGGTTATATTTCAGATACAACCATATGCACGCTTACTTGAGAATAGGAGTCCCATTTTCAAGTAAAAATGCATAGGCTTGGACTACACATGTGACAAAATGGCTAATTAGCATTTTTGGTGGTAATCCAGTAAAGTGAGAACCCTGCTTTCTGTATGAAACAGGAAAATCCAGTTTCAAATGATTGCTCTTGTGCATCAAGAGTACATTATCCAACATGTGTGAAAGCAAATGATTTGGGCTGGAAAAGACTTTATTTCCTTATAAAAAGAAACCTTTTAAAAAAGAATTTTCTTCAGCTCAGTTTGGTTGACCAGAGGATACCTTTTAAACATTATAGCCCTACTTTTATCCCTGGGCAGGCAACAGTTTTGCATTAAAGACTTCTGTGGTTGCAGCAGGCCTGGAAAAGTTAAGGTAACATCATGGGATGATACTGTGGAAAAGCAGCTCCCATAGCAGGAACATAACATTCAAGGAAAGGAAGACTTGAGAGTTTGTTCCATTCACATTCGTCCATTTGTGAATGCATGCACTTCCTATGTGAGGTTTTCTCCTGAATGAATCTAAACCTAAAGAAGCAATTAATACTGTTCCTCTTTATTTCAAAGGCCAATAATATATAAACTGTACAACTATGGGAAGATCTACCTGAGTTTTTCAGTGTAGCAATTAGCCCTATCAAGACCTAGCACACAATTACATTCCTGGGCAAAACCTTATTATTTACAGGATAAAAGCTGAAATAATGCAGTTGGTAAAATAATAGAGATGAGAAAGCTGTTTCTTAATATAAAAGTATCATCTCCCCCAAAGCTTCTTTGTTCCCTGGATATTCCATTAAAGGACTCTCTGTGAAACACTCTGACAGCCTGCACAGTCAGCTGCTCACAGTAAGACATTCTAGCACATGTTTAACCCTTAGCTCATAAACATTGCCATGGGGGGGGGGGGGGGATTCGTGTTCCCAAAGTTAATTGCATGATTTCATGGCATCCATTATGAATCTTGATCAAAGTGTTAATGTTCACTGTCCTCTGGGCTGATTGCTCTAGGCAATTATTATAAGTGATGCTAATTAGTATGCTTGAATCTTTCTTGCAACATTTGAACCACATGTGAACAGCTGTAATCTGGGAAACAATTTGGGAATGAAATCTAATGTACATTCTAGCCACTATAGATATGACATCCACCCTACAGATCTATTTACATATAAACCGATATAAACCTGTTGAAACGCCCAAAGTGGAACTACCCATTCCTTCATGATGAGCTTCCAATAAGAAGGCCCCTAGAGTCCAGGCCTAATCAAGCCCTGACCTCACTAATTCCTGCCCTATCAAGCCCTCACCTTAGCAAAGATTCCATTTTAAAAAGTCTGAGAGGAACCCCCCCCACACACACACATACCCTTTCAGTTCAGTGGCATCACCCACTGCTTATTCAGCTTTTTAAAAATTTGAAGACTCTTCCATCCAGAGGACAGCCTCCGTTTGTGACTCTGTTCCTAAATTCTAGGCTAAGAAACTGTTCTCTCAAGAGCATTAACTGGTACATCCCAACATGGAACTCATATGTAGCTTGATCTAATACTGTATGAGACCATTGGCCATCTAGCACTACTCTGACTGTCAGTTGCTTGCCAGAAATTGTCTAGCACTTAAATAACTTAACTGGAGATACTACAGGTTACACCCAACTACTAAGTCACTGTCCTTGTCTCCCTCTTCATTACAGCTCTGGTTACCAAGAGGCTATAAACTGCCATTTTTTAGCACTTATAATATTAATAGCAGAACTGCTGAGGCAGGAAAAGGTCCTCGACTAGAATGCATTACACTGGAGAAAGAGATTAGCATTGCTGTTGTATTTCTTCTTTTTGAAGCAATATCACAGAAATGAGGGAAATGAAGTTTTTTCAAGATATATTTAGTTGAATATTTTTTAAAAAATAATCAACCATTACTTTCAACACCTGAAACATAATAAAGCTTTCCTGGAGTTTTATACTAAATCATGTTTTGTCACCATGAAAAAAATATATCCTACTTAATTTTATGTTTCGGTCATGACACCTCCCCACTCCTCCTTTCTTGTTTAAGAAACTCAGGATATTAGCCCTTTATTTAGGATACTGCAGCTGAAGTAGGTAGCAATTAATTTTTTTCATGAGCAGGTCTAAACTGATATCCTCAAAACATAAACGTCTGTTCTGTACATTATTTCAACCAGAGGTGTCCGATCTAAACCATGTTAAAGTCAAACAGGACTGGAGGTTTTTCATGAGTATGTCATGAAAGTGTTCAAGTTACTTTAAAAATGCAACGGAATGGTAAGCATACCATTATGGATTCTGTGAAGCCTTTATTCAGAAATTATCTGTATGACACCTTATGGATCCATATAAACAACTTAGGAACCAGGAGAACAGCTCTTTTGCAGTAAATTTATCATTTTGGTATTTCAGATGCACCTTCCAATATCTTACATTGCTTAAGTTTTGGGTTGTATGGCTATGATGTATAGCTTGTGATAGTTCTTTAAATGAGGAAATGCAGATAACATGCTTTTCTGATATTTTGGAACTTTGGATGCACTTGTTTTCCGGACCATAAGTTGCTAGATGAATATCACACTTTTAGGTTGGCACTAACAAAAATAAATGATGCTATTAAAGTTCAAAGAGAAAGATTAACATGTAAATAGAAAAAGATAAAACAGCTATAAAATGCATAATGATTGTGTCTTTACATAAAGATATTAAGATCTATGTGAAAATGCTTTATCTGAATGCTACTTGAGAGTAAATACAATTCAAATCTATTGGACTTCTCAGAAAGCAAGGTTAGGATTAGGTCACAAGGCTTTCCAGGAAAACGATTGCAAAACTGCCCAGTTATCCACAATAGAAATTCTTTCTATTTCAGTGCCACTTAAGCCTGAATAACTGTGCATGGGATCACATTCTTTTTGTCCTTCATAACTTATAAACTAACACATTAGAGAAGCATGCATTGATATTTTAAGGAGAATATTGAAAGTTGCAATAAATCTGCCTACCAAGAATACCACAAAGCCACTAAGTTCTAGAAAAATAAAATATAGCCATCATAAGTCCAGCCATGCTGTTTGAGAGTATGTGTTTATTCAGAAGTAAGTCTCACTGAGTTCAATGGGAATTGCTCCCTGATAACTTTCAGCTGGAAAGCTGTGTCTGTTGGATCAAAAAACAAAAGTCATAAGACTCCTAGTTGTTTTTGCTCCTGTGTGTAAGATTACTGCCCTGAAGTTGTAATGACAATACCACTAAAGTAAACTGAAACTCATCTCCAAAACTGTATATATTTGCATTAGTTTGGGAATACAGCAGGACATTCACAGTACATCAGTCTGAAAATCTTAATTCTGTAATTATTTAAGACAATTTTGACTTCTTTGGTTCATTTGTCAGCCTAAGGGAGAGAGAAAAAACAGAGCTCTGGCTTGTGCATAGACTCCCCATCTTGCTTGACGTTTTGTTGAAAGTTTCAAACTGGTGGTTTGCATTATGAAAATGTGGAAGTTGAGCACACATCTGATAACAGCCTTGACCTTTTAGTCTAACCAGCCGGTTTAGCTGGGCAGGGAGGGGGAATAAGAGAAAGACAGACTGAAAACAATGTGGGCTTTTGGAAAGCAGTGTAGGCTACCTACCCCATCCCTCCGAAGTCCCTTCTGTCAGCATCACCTAATCTTTCAACCAGAGGAAAAGGCATTTATCCTACTGGTCCTCCGGCTCCCCTCTCCCCACCCTCAGCAGGAGCTTAATAAGAATTCTGATCATTTGTCTCCAACTCAAAATGGGGAACTTGTGTGCGTCTCTCTGAATTTGGGCTGCTGTCCCCCCCTACAAGTAGCAGTCAGGCAGTTTTCTGAACAGAGAGTCTAATACTAGCTTAATAAAATACGCTAAAACAGCCAGACACACTGCACAGGTCACCCATAAAAACAGTGGGATTGCAATATAGGGAATGGGACGGGAAAGTAAGAGTGGCTTTCTAGAAACGCACGCACACCTCCGTTACCCGGGAGAAAGGAAGGTGCTGCCCTATTGTATTTCTCTGCCGCTTGCACTTTCTGAGCGCAGTCTCCCTGGAAGCTGGCACCGGAGAGACTGTCAGACAATCAAGGTTCTCCCCCCCTCCCCCGACTCCCACAAGCCCCTAGATTGCAGACAATACGCATCCATCCGAAGGTAAAGTTGGAGGTAGCCAGGGAATTAAGAGAAAGGCCACTTACTCGGAGGGCTCGAGGCTTTTTCTTTCGATGGCTGATGACATTGGCAGCTCTTGGTCCTTTGTAGTGTGGTGGTGGTTTTTGTCCGCGATGAGCTCTGCCCCCGCTGCCCCCAGAAAGGCTGCCTGCTCCTGAATGCCTTTTCACCAGCACCAGCAGCAGAGTGGCACCTCCACCCCCCCCTTCCACTCCCAATGACATTCACAGGATTTCCTTCTGTAAAACCAACGGAGGGGGAGAGAGAGAGAGAGAAGGTGGGCAGCTGTGTTGTTGTTGTTGCTGTTGCGTCTCTATGAGGCAGGCTAACCCTTAGGATCTAACCTCCCATCCTTGCAATGCTCCTCCTGTTCGCTGAATGCGAGCTGGGCAGAGACTGCCGCCGCTCAGTAGTGTCGTCTCTCAGCTGTCACTGCTGGGCTTCTCCCAAAGTCGCCCCTTCGCTGGGCTTATGTTTGCTGCCTGTGTAGCTCAGGGCACGGTCTACAGAGGGCTGCCTGCGCCGCAGAGCCAGCTTCGATCAGCCTCAGCTGCTCCGCCACCACCATTATTATTGTCGTTGCTACTATTGTGGCTGTTATGGTCGAGCTAGCCTCGGTGGTCTCCGCAGAGTCTCTCTGGTTTCACATCCTCTTTCCTGATCACGATTCGAATACAATAGAAGGAAATGACACTTAAAGAGACAGCTGTCTATTTCTTAACAGCACTCCTGGGGATTTAGCGAGCCACAACAGCGGCATCTCTCACGACTGAGTTAACTCCTTAAAGGGCCAGCCCTTCGCTCACATGCAGCTCAGGTTGGGACTGGGAGGAAGCTGACTCTGCATTTTTACAATATATCATGTGTGTTGGTGCAATTTTAATTGTACAGTCAATTTGCTCGCCGGCAGAGGGGCAAGCACATGGAAGATCGCCTTATTGGTACCTTCATTGTTACGTGCCCCAGCATCTCATTATCCACAGAACTAGAAGTGAAACAAGCAAGCAAGCGAAGAATAATTAGTGCCTTCCTAATTTGGATCACTCGAGATTGTCCTATGCTGGTCATTAAGGCACCTGCACCTTTCTGCAGTTTGACCGTGCATAGCTATTTAACAAATGCATCCCTTGGAAATAAAGTCTTGGAATAAGAGCCATGATTGATTGGTAGTTAATTTATATAAACAGACACAGTAATAAGCATAACTATAGTAACCTGTAACATAAAAAGCAATTATCCAATCATTTCCCCTCCCCCAGCTTCACCACTACCCTCCAAGTGAAATTATTCATGCAGTAAAGTGACTTGCATCCTTGTTAAAATTAAGCCTCACTTTATAGTTGCAGTGATAGCACTAGGTTCTGCCAATGGAGGTGTCCCTCTAAATTAGATGAAAACACCTGCTCTGGTGATTCTTCTATAATAAAATGGTGAAACATTCCAGAAACTCTCACTGTATATATCTATTCCTTTTTTTAAAAAAAAGTTCATTTGTAATTGCCTTGTTTTAACAACATTCCATCCCTTGAGTTTCTGCAAAATCTTCAAGGGAATAAGGTCTGAGGTGACAAGACCTCCTCTAAAGGCCACTGGCACCAGATGTAGGCATTTCTCCTGTTGGCTTCAGTGGGTATTGGGTCAGGCTCTGGTGCTTTTGTTTGTTTCATACAGCGATAATTAGGAAACGGCCAGCATTTCATTTTGATAACAAGAGGTTCTGTGGCACTTTCTGACCTTGAAGCTACTTCTTTAAAAACTCAGAATTTAGGGGCTACTCTAGCTGTTGCAATTTTTTTTTACTCCTTTTGAGTGATAAGTGATTAACAAAAACTAGACCTTTTATTGGATAAAATGAAAGGAATGCATTTAGGGGCTGTTGGTGGGTATTTGATGATGAGGAACAGGAGGTGACCCAACCTGAATGGTGGGACTTAAGTGTGCAACTTGCTTAGAAAAGGGGGAGCCATAATCAGCTCTCTCAAGATGTTTCTTAGGCAAAAAGCAGCTCTAGGGGCTCCAGGGTTAGATCCAGACTGCAGCACAGCTGGGTGCATAGGTGTGTTAACCCTTTTGCCAATACATTTTCCCTGGCAGAAATTTCTCTCTGAACTGAAAAACAGCTCCCCATATTGTACCTTGTTTTGTCTACCCCAGAACTAATTGCAACTTAGGAAAAGCAGTTTCTGTTGGAAAGGGGGTTGGGGGGGTGCTAATCCCTCCTACTGTGTACCCCAGTCCAAACTGTAGCGCACACAGTTGCCTTTTAAATGCGTCAGGCTGTGTGATCATGGATCTCCCATGTCTCATCTAGTTGCACTTTGAATCGTCTTCCATGCAAAGTTATGTTGTTCTCAGACTTGGCTGAGTGCATTACTCAGGATGGATGCTTTTTTTAAAAAAGCAGTATGCCTGAATTTCTGTGTATCCCTCACCTTACAAAAGAATGAAATGTAAAACTATTACAAACTACTCGCAAAACTGTTCTGGGAATGAGTGTGTGTGTGTGGGTTTTGTGTCTCTGCGTTAATGAGGTAGTATGTACTAGTGGATAGGTAAGGAACATGATCTGCTTTTCTCCAATGTGTGGAACATTTGCAGCAGCTTTTTCATTTCAGTGTTTCATCCAGGACAGAAAAAGGTATGTGAACTTGAAGGACAGTGACAGGTCCATCCATCACTCTTAAAGCATTACACCTGTCTTCACTAAAAATGTGCATACACTGCATATTCTCATTTTTAGGATGCACATACAGAAAAGTTATAGTAAATGTCATATAATAATCCACCCTATTGTTATCTGTGTTCCTTGTTTTCAAAGCCAGTACTAAAAAGAGTGACTCTGCTGTTTCAGCCAAGGGCCACTGTCCTAAAATATAACCTCAGAAACAAATATTTGGGATGTTCTTAACATGGTGATATGATCCATGAGCACTGCCTAATATATAAATGCACATTATATTTCACACATAGCATTTTCATTTGTCCACTATGGTGTTACTTATCCAAGCACATCCATCTAAGTAAGTGGCTGTGAAGCAGAAGCAAGAAGCAGTGCAACAGAAAAACTAGGCTAGATATTTTCTTAAGAATGGGAATGGCTTGGAAATAGAAAAAGTTGATCAGGGAAGTTGTGAAATATATTCTGCATTTATATAAAAGGTACAATGTTGGTATGATTCCCATATGAGTACAACAGAACAATAGAGATCAAACCCCAAACCTGTTAGTGAAATATACCAGAAACCCTCAATGTATATATTTATTCCCTCTAAAATGTTCATTTATAATTGCTAGCTCTAAGGATTTGTTCTAGCCAGAGCAGGGAATGGAATGAAAGGACTTTTGTCTCTCCCAGTTCAAGTACAGTGGGCATTTAATGTAAGTAATGTACTCTAGGGTCAGAAAGAAGAAATAAACAAGATAGAATAATTAAAATGCTGGGAACTTTGCTAAAGCAACTTAATAAAGTAGCAATTGAACTTAAAAGAGTGCAATACATATGTAACAAGTGCTGTTATAAAGTGAATAAGAATAATTTTACAATACTTTATAATTGCTTTTGGTAGATTGGTTTTTTTAAGGACTTAAGATGTTTTTGTATATTTATTAATTTATTTTGCTGTGTGTGTCTAGATTTTATGTACTTTTTTTGTTAGCCAAAGGAACACCTTCTTTCTTAATATACTGACACTTATCTAGTATTAGCTGTGCCTGCTACACCATGACTGGCTGGGAGCAGACAGCCCTATCTACATCAACAGATGCTGTCGTCATTTTCAGTGGACCTCAGTGAAGTATGTTTAGGTGTGCATCTATGTCAGCAGCATAGGAGTATTTCTCTTGCTGGACTGGTGTGATTACATTGAAGTTTTACTGATGTTCACTTAGTATGATACCAACCCAAGCTCACAATTCAGCCATGTATTTGACATATTTTCTGAATTTTGTCTTCGGTGGTAGTGCCAGCAAAAACCCACCCTGGGTCAGATCTCTGGCCAAGTCACTGAGCAGGACAGTGAGGAAGATGGCAATGATCCTCAGGAGCTTGACTCACTCTCAGCCATCCATTGGAGCAGGCCTGTAGCCAGAACATTTTTATTGGGGGAGGGATGAATACAGTAGTGGTCAGCCCACAATTATTTATTTTCTTTCTTTCTTTCTTTCTTTCTTTCTTTCTTTCTTTCTTTCTTTCTTTCTTTCTTTCTTTCTTTCTTTTTATTTTATTATTTATTCACCAGTTTTTAAATTGAGACTCAAGGTGGATTACATGGTGTGGAATACTGTGATCAAATAGCACAAGAGATCTACTAAGCAATGCAATAGGACTAGGATTACAAAAATTAGAAAAGTACAAAAAAGTATCAGATGTGCAATGTCAAACAATGAAGAAAACGGAGTTACAAAAAAAAAGAACAATGCTATAAGACCATGATAGTAACAGATAAAAAAAATCACAGTGGTAGGAACCAACAACTACCACAGAGATATACTGTGAGAGGTCCAATATCTAATTACAATAATCTTTCAAAAATCTTAATAAAGGTTCAAATATTTTATGAAAAATGTAAGCGTAATTTTATATTATAAATTAGTGAAGTAACACAATGCCTATACAATAAATAGAATATCTCATTCATAATATTTATAACATATGGAAAAATCCCAAACAAGCAATACTCTAAGCAGTCTATGGCTCCATTTCAATCACAAAAAATGTCAACAAGGTCCAGCGTCCATGATATATCAAAGAAGTTTTCCAGACTGTCTAAGATGTCCAATGTGGTTTCCGGATATAATCAGTACACATGTTTCGAGGTTCCTTTTTCAAGAAAATATATAGTCACATCCACTGGTTAATTTCATAACACTTTATCTTTGGGCATGTTTACTCTAAAGCCTTTCTGTTACATTCACAAGAAGAAAAGACCTGTGGGAGTAAATAGGAACCAGGCTTACAATTCTTTAAATGGAATCATCTCCAACATTAATCTATCTTGAAATTAATCTAGCCTTTGTGCCTGTAAGCAGCCGTAAATGAAATTTTGTGAGACGTGAGATATGGCAAGAAATAGATGGACAAGAAGACATTCTGTTCCATCTTTGATAAAGCAGTGATGGAAACGAACTCAGAGGCAAGCAGGATTTGTTAGCCGGAATGGCTCTGAAATCGCATATTGTCCTCCTGCAAAGTAAACAATTTGCTATTTATCACATCTCTACGTTTGAAATTGGAATATTTGGAAAAGTCTCTATTGGAAGCTTACATATTATGAATGGACTAATTGGTGGCACAGAGCACTTTAAATATCAGTGAACTTTAATTTTCATTGTACCTTTATTGGACTGATTGAATTGAGTGTTGCACCTTACTCAGAGCCTTTCTACTGAACCTATGGGTGATTTTTCTGTGGCTGCAGTTAGGGGCCGCAGTGGCTCAGTGGTTAAGACGCTTAGCTGCAGACCGGAAGGTCAGTAGCTTGGCAGTTCGAGACCCAAGTGTCACATGATGGAGTGAGCTCCCGTCTCTGGTCCTAGCTCCTACCAACCTAGCAGTTCGAAAGGGAGAAATTGCAAGTAGATAAATAGGTACTGCTTTGGTGGGAAGGTAAGAG